GTCAAAAGGTAATAAGCAGAAGGTTGTCTAAATGTTACATTGAAACTAAATACAGCATTAATAAACAATTGCAAATTAGATCCAAATCTTTGTTGTACAATAAAGGTTTCTGTATTTGTAATTGTTATTGTTTGTGCATGTTGGAAAAAAGAGAGAGGGAGAGAGAAATAGACAAAGCAAATGAACGACAACAAAAAGAAAAGAGAAAAAAGGTGATTTAACACATATAACACAGCAAGGCCAGGTCTGGAATAAACCACCCAAAAGTTAGACAGTGAAAAATCACCCCATGGTCCAGCACAGAGTCTCCAATCAGCATCCAGTAAGATGTTATGGGAAATCCCCTTTGCAGGTGTTCTGGGCCACAGGACGGTTGGCCTTGAACAAATATAAACATCTCCACTCAGCAGAGCCACAGTTCATGAGTTCAAACCTCCCTTCCTATTCTCATGGGACTGCTCCACACCATCTCGCTTCCCCATCCCAAATGCCTAAACCTCCCCCACTCCCTGGGGTTGGACTAGATGACCTACAAGATCCCTTCCGACTCTGTTATTCTGTTCTGTTCTGATTTGGTTTTTAACTTTGTGTGTGTGTGTGTGTGTGTGTGTGTGTGTGTGTGCGCGCGCCTTTAGTAATTTGCAGTGCTTATGAAGCCCTTTTTAACTCTCTGGATAGGAAGTATAAACGCAGGTGATCACAGGTGTTGTGTTGCATGGGAAAAAAAGGGCGGGGATTTGAACTCATGGTTGGGGCTGCCATTTTGACTTTTTTTGACCTCTTCCCCATAGACTCCCAAGCATGGTCTTTTTGTATTTGAGACCTGTAAATGGGGAAAATTTGGCAAGGTTTACAAAATATGCTAGACAAGGGGTGTTGCAAACTCGATTTCATGGAGGGCTGCATTTCAGGGTTGTGTTTGACCTCGAGGGGGAGGGGTGGGCATGGCCAGCTTGATGTCAATCACATCAGGGGGGGCCTATGGTGGCCCAAACTCTCTGCCAACAAAAATGGCTCCCAGGCTCCATTTTTGGCTGCAGCCCTCCCTCCTGAGCTCCATTTTCGCCGCCAGAAGCACCCTAGGCCGGTCCTTCTCTGTTTCCAGGGCAGCCCCACAGGCCAGATCTAAGCACCCTGTGGGCCACATCCGGCTGCAGGCCTTGAGTTTGACTCCCCTGTACTAGACTAAGCTAAAGTCAGACTGAGAGAAAAATCGGTCCCAAAATAGAGAGTTTGCTGCCAAGCTTTCTACAAAGTAATCAAGCTTTGGTTTCAATTTCTTATCCTGCCTCAATGGACTTCTTTTTGGCACACGGATCCAGCATGGCAATCCAAGAATGCATGGAGCCATCAGCCTGAAAGGATCTGCACGTGTTCCGTGTAAAATACAAATATTTAGGTTAGCGGTCAGGAAAACAAGGAGAAGGGAAGAGAAGAATGCATGGCTAAAAAGATTTTCTGTAATGTTTTGTTCATGCAGTATTAGCAGTTCCTTCTTCTTTCTTTGTGTTGTGTATCTTTCACTTTCTCCAAAATCTGTTAAACAGCTTAAATTAAAAATCTGCCATAGAAGGACTACTGCATGCTATTGCGGCTCTGGGGGCAACGGATGACACATGTGATGGGGCCATTGCTCAAAGGGTACTTGTGTGAGATGTCAGGTTCATGTCTTTTGTGCAGTGACTTCATGAGACAAAACAGCGTTGTTTGATGATGTCATTGAAGCTTGCTATGGACTTGGCTAGCATCCGTACACACATCCATACCCATCGATTTACGTTCGGGAATGCTGGCCCTTTAAAAATTACTATTATAGCATTAGCGCTTACTTATATACCGCTTCACAGTGCTTTACAGCCCTCTCTAAGTGGTTTACAGAGTCAGCCTATTGCTCCCCAATAATCTGTGTCCTCATTTTACCAACTTTGGAAGGATGGACGGCTGAGTCAGCTATGAGCCAGTGTTGTGGTTAGCTAGCAGCGGGTGTGGACGGCTGAGGAGAGCGAGGACTCAGATGAGGGGCCAGGACCATTAGGGAGTGGAGTGCTGCCTTCAGAGATTGTGGGGGCTAGCAGCAGCGATGAGGAGGTTCCTGGGGAGCCTGTGCCAAGTGCGTTGTGCACGCAGGATTGCTCGCAGGAAAGAGCAGCTGCAACAGCAAAGGCGACTCGGGATTAAGGCTGCAAGCTAATGCCCCCTCCTTCAAGAAGATAAAAGCCAGCTGTGAAGTGAACGTTCTTTGCAGGAAGCAAAGACATTTTGAAACTCCTGCCTCTTGGACATTACAGTATCTTAATTTGGTATTTGAAGACTCTTGTGTTGTGAAATATTTCTTATCTGTGATTCTTGGCAATCTCCCACAGTTTTGGCAAGGTTTGTGCTTATCCAAGTTAATTAGTTTGCAGCAGCCTTTAACTGGGGATTCGTAAGACTCATTAAAAGGTTTCTGTTCCCTTTGATTATTGTTTGTCTTATTGGAAAAGGGTTTGTGTCAGAACAGCTGCTCAGGATCGAACTGTGGGGAGTGAGCAGAGTTAGCTTGCAATACTGCATTCTAACCACCATGACTTTTTAATTATGTTTCATTTCTATTAATAAAATAATGAAATGCAAATGAAAAAGCAGGCCTGTTGTGCCAATCCTACTACAGGTACTCCTCAACCTAGGACCCCAATTGAACCCAACATTTATGTTGATAAGTGAGAAATTTGATAAGTGAGAAATTTGTTAAGTGAGTTGAGTCCCATTTCACAACTTTTCTTGACACATTTGTTAAGTGAATCACTGCAGTTGTTAAATTAGCCACATGGTTGTGAAGTGAACCTGGTTTGCCCCTTGACTTTGCAGAAGGTCGCAAAACCCCGAGACACTGAAACTGTCATAAATGTGAGTTAAGCATCCGAATGTAAATCATGTGACCATGCTGCAACAGTCATAACTGCGAAAAGCAGTCATAGGTCACTTTTTTCAGTGCCGTTGGAACTTCGAACGGCCACTAAACAAACTGTTTGTAAGTTGAGGACTACCACAGAAAGGCACCGAAACTCTCTGTCACTTCAAATAAGTTCTGGCATGGAAAATTGGCATTTTCTGTAGACTCAGTGCAAAGTGGCATTCTGGAACAGGATCCAGGCAATGTCACGTCGTGTCATTTTTAAAAGACCACATATTTAGAGAAAATGGCCTTGACTCCAAAAGAGGAGAAGAAGTTGGCGGCTGCTAGGGGGATTAACCTCCTATGAAAACCAACTGATGGATCTGAGGAACGCAATGTTACTTTGCCAAATGAGGACACTGAGTCATACGCCGGATAATGAGGCATTGGGTGCGCCAATGAGTTTTGGCTAACAGTTGGATAATGGAAGACCTCCCCTGCCCTCCATGTAGTCCTTGACTTACAACCATTCGTTTAGTGACTGTTCAAAGTTGCAGTGCTGAAAAAAAGTGACTTATCATGGTGTTTCACACTTATGACCCAGTGTTGGGATTCAAATTTTGTTTACTACCGGTTCTGTGGGTGTGGCTTGGTGGGCTTGGCAGGGGAAGGATACTGCAAAATCCCCATTCCCTCCCCACCCTACTAACCTGCTTTCCAGCTCCATTCTCCTGTGCAGGGCAACAAAAGAAGACCCAGCCAATCAGCTGGGACTCAGGAGGCAGAGAATAGATGGGGGCGGGGCCAGTCGGAGGTGGTATTTGCCAGTTCTCCCAACTACTCAACATTTCCACTACCGGTTCTCCAGAACTGGTCAGAATCTGCTGAATACCATCTCTGTTATGACCGTTGCACATCCCCCTGGTCACATGATCAACATTCAGCCGCTTGGCGACTGGTCTCTATTTATGACGGTTGCAATGTCCCAGGGTCTTGGGATCCCTTTCTGCAGCCTTCTGATAAGCAAAGCTAATGCAGCAGCCAGATTCACTTAACAACCTTAATTCCCTCAAAGAAGAGGGAGTCAAGCTATTCTCCAAAGCAACTGAGGGCAGGACAAGAAGCAACGGATGGAAACTAATCAAGGAGAGAAGCAACCTAGAACTAAGGAGGAATTTCCTGAACAATTCATAGAATAATTAATCAGTGGAACAACTTGCCTCCAGAAGTTGTGGGTGCTTCAACACTGGATGTTTTTAAGAAGAGATTGGATAACTATTTGTTGGAAGTGGTGTAGGGTTTCCTGCCTAAGCAGGGGGTTGGACTAGAAGACCTCCAAGGTCCCTTCTAACTCTGTTATTCTATTCTAACTGCAGTGATTTGCATACCAATGGTGGCAAGAAAAGGTGCAAAATGAGGCAAAACTCATTTAACAACTGTCTTGCTTAACAACAAAAAATTGGGGCTCCATTGAATGTCGGGATTCCGCCCCCAATGCAGAAGTCACGTAATGCCACTTGGGCACCTCTCCGCAATGAAAAAGAGACTTTAAAGTAAATTGTTTTTCCTCCTCTTCGCCTCTTCCATTCTTCTGCTTGCCTCCACCCTCCCTCTGGGCGAGTTGACTAACCATGGAAGCTCTTCCAATCCAGGCGGTGGCAGGTAAAACAATGAGCCATGTTGACAGGTTGCACCATGCATGGCATCTCAAGTTGAAACATCCCTGCCCTGCCCTGCATTGGCTCAGGTTGCTGGAGAAAGAAAACACCCACAATTTCCGGTACAATAAGGAAGAGTGCCTAGAACTCAACCCACGCAGGTAATTTCTCCCCAACCTGCCTTAGGGTCCAATGGGGAATGTCCATCCAGAGGGCACCATGTTGGGGAGGCTGCAGGAAAGACAACAATCTTCATGGCCACCACCCAAAACCCAAGGAAACAAACAGGGCGTGATGTGGGCGCAGAACGAGTTAAGCAAGTCCTGTCAACACAAAAGCTGTGTGTTATTGCACCTGTGTTCACTGGCACACTGGTAGCACTCCTCCACGGTTACACTCAAGATGCATAAGCACATTTTCTGAAACCAGGAGGAGGGTGCTATTGGGGGTTTAATCAATTACTGTACCTTGGCAGCTGAATGCTGCAGTGCGCGTATCACCAACGTGACGATGTGCCTGGAAGGGCATTTTCCATCCTTTCTTAAAAATCATTCCCCAAGGTGCGTGAAGCTGAACTCCACTGTTGCTGGTTTCCCTGCTCACAAGCACAGTTCACTCACATCTTCAGAACAGAAGAGCAGAGTCGGAAGGGACCTTTGAGATCTTCTAGTCCAACCTGCTGCTCGAGCAGGAGAACCTCTCCCGTTCTACATTCTCTAACTGGCTGCCCAGTCTCTTCTTAAAAGCTTCCACTCTTGGAGTACCCACATGTTCTGAAGGCAAGCTGTTCCGTGTAGGATTCAATTGTTTTTACTACCGGTTCTGTCGGTGTGGCTTGATGGGCGTGGCAGGGGAAGGATACTGTAAAATCTCCAGTCAGAGGTGGCATTTGCCAGTTCTCTGAACTACTCAATATTTCCACTACCAGTTCTTCAGAACTGGTCAGAACCAATAGTGGTATTTGACCGGTTCTGCCTGGTTCTGGAGAGCCGGTAGCAGCGATGAGCTGTAGAGACCAAACTGGTTCTCTCCGCCACTGTGCTGTTCGACCCACCCACCCATCTGGGCTACCATACTCACCACCGAATTTGAAGTGCAGCTTCTTTGCGCAGCACAGAGTAGTGCTGCGCGGCAGCTGCCGAAGCGACCAGGATCGTGCAAGCTTTCAGGAGGCGAGTTAGAACGCCTCTGTGCCTGTGCAAATGTCTCTGTGCCTGCACAAAGTGCGCGTTTGGCACACACAAAGTGCGCCCACCAAACCACACCCACCAAACCAGTGGCAACAATATTTGAATCCCACCACTGGTCAGAACCTGCTGAATATTACCTGTAAAGCTGTTCCACTGGTTCTAACTGTGAGGACATTTCTTCTTAGTTCTAAATTACTTCGTTCTTTGTTTAAATTTCCATCCATTGTTTCTTGTCTTGCCTTCTTGTGCATTGGAAAACAGGCTGACCCCCTCTTCTCTGCGGCAGCCTCTCAAATATTGGAACCCTGCTGTCATGTCCCCCTGGTCCTTCTCTTCACTAGGGTAGACATACCAATTCCTGAAACCATTCTTCATATGCTTCAGCCACTCAATCTTCTTTGTCCCTCTTCTCTGCATTTTTTTCCAGAGTCTCAATATCTTTTTTACATTGTGGTGACCAAAATTGGATGCAATATTCCAAGTAATTTCACAACTTGTAGCTAGATGCTGGGGGCTCGAAGTGGGATCTGAGAGGTCATGGAAGAGTAATCTAAAAGTCATGCCTTATGTTATCCCTTCCTTATCTGGGATACGCCAGTTATGTTGGGTCTACAATTCCTTGAATTGCCATGATTGGATTTGCAAACTCAACCCTTTCATAAGGTCCTATTTGAGAAAGGATCTCTTAGGGCCAGTTGTAGGTTTCCCAAACAAAGATTCTCAGTTCACAGGTTTGAACAGCCAACAAATTCCTTGTGTGTCCAATCACACTTGGCCAATAAAGCTATTCTATTCTATTCTATTCTATTCTATTCTATTCTATTCTATTCTATTC